ATTCCTGCGTTCTGTGACTCTTGCCTGCTCATTACAGTGTTAGTTTGGCCCTTTATTTTATTTCACACAAAGCCACCAGTCGTTTTAGTATCAATTATCTGATGTTTTGTCATCAGAATTAAATTGACTTCTTCTAGAGAGAAATATCCACCTGCCAAGACATGTGAATTTTATATTCTGTGTCTTACATGTACGTGAAATCCATGAATTAGTAGAAAAGCCGTGCTCAGATTAATGGCGCCTTTAAAATTCATTAGCACAGTGGTAGAACTGTGTGCAGCTAAATGCCTGTCACATGCTGTAATGGTGAAGAGGCAGAGCATTAAACTCACAGGAACCTAATTGATTTTTCAAGTAATCCACACGAATGGATAAATGAATAAGATATGTTTTTAAGTGCAGCTATTTCCTCTGATGAAACTCCCACTGTCGATGTCTTCCTAACAACAACCAACAGAGTGGACTGCCCCCTAGTGCCACCACCTGAGTGTGACAGTGCACAGAGAGGGGGGGAGGGGGACTTGCTTTGAGCATTAGCAGAATGCCAGCTTTTCCCCAGTGCCATCCAATCAGAGAGCGCCTCGGCACACGCATTCACACATCCAGCGGAGCTAGGTGGCGAATGCAAATGCTCGGAGATCAAGGTTTCTCCTTGGCAATGGTGCGGCACTTGTTTCTCTCTGCTTTCATGTCCGAGTGATGATGGTGATAATAAGAGGGGAGGACAGGCCTCGCATTGAGCCAAAGGGGGGGAACGAGAATCGATGAGATCTTTTGATATGGAATGCTGCATCATATGATATTAGTGTCATTCATGCAGCTGTTTGATTGACACTTTATTAGAGAAATTGCGAGAAATGCAACACTGTCTTCATCCGTTTCTCATGTTTGAATTGCTGACACTTTGATGCACTTTGGCGAACGTGGCGCTCAAACTAGGGACAAAGGAGCTGCGGCCTGAACATCACATTTTCGTCTCTGAGTTTCTCTCCTGCCTTTTCACAAAGACAGAATTAATATAGTGAACAAACATATTTCCTATAATTGCTTCCTTTGTGATTCTATGCACTTAACATGAACGCACACACACACACACACACACACACACAAACTGCAACCTGCATCATTGTGCTTCAGGGATCCTGTTGTTCTTCGTGCTTCAGCTCCACCAGACTTAATTCTCAGGGTTATGTTTTATTAGGCTGATGATGTACATTGCATTCAAAGGGTAGTTCAACATCCACATGGTTGTAAAGCCAGCCTATGTTCCTAATTAAGACAATGTGGCTCCGTGCTGCTTTCAGGAAATGTAACAGCGACGGCAATGAAGGCGGCAAATTCTGAGCGTTACTCTGGAAAAGAGAAGGCATTTATTTTGAGCTCGTCAATTAGCTTGTGTCTTAAATATGATGAATGTTTTCTGTTTGATTCCTCACAGATCACTTCTGATTATATTCATATACATGCAGTGGATATAGTGATAATTCTTCGGGGGGGAAAAGAATAACAGACATGTTTGAGAATATTTTAAAATCATCCAGAATCACAGTGTTTTCCATTCGTTTGTTCACCTTAATTGTTTTTACCCTGTTACCCAGTCTGCTTGGTTGTACAAAAATAAAATAATAATATTTTAAAAAATCTATTACTTTGCTTTTGTGCCACATAGATACAAAAATAACTTTCAACTTCTATTGTTGAATTTTGTCAGAAAATTAAATAAGTGCGAATGAGGTAATTTTCACAGAATTACTCATCTTTTCAGTCCTTCAACCAACATTGAAAACATGACCTTGTTAATTTGACCGTTTGATCCTGTTTGTCTGTGGGAAGGTCACATATTAACAGCCTGTTGCATCAAACAACCTTTGACCCCTCACTGTGACCTGTGGTCCCGAGGGAAACTGGCCCCTGGACGTTTGGCCCCCAGCTTCTCTCAG